TCAACTGTTTTTTCACCTCTTTTTTCACCCGTTGAATTCATTACTTTATAACTCTCTTCCTTTCTCCAACTCTTTCTAACTTCTTTCTTAAGTTCAGCAATGTTGTCCTCATGAAGTTTAATCTTTCTCAAAATTCCTTCTTTATCTAATGGTTGCTTTATCTTTCTAAACTGAACTCTACCATCCTTCATAGTATGAATGTAAAAACCTTCTGGAATAGTTCCTGATTTAATGTATTCTACCAAAAACTTTTGTTTCATTGCTTCAGTGACTTTAGTCGTCATTTCAATCAAATAAAAATTTTAATATTAAATAAAAATAACGTTATTTTTTCAGTAAGGAAACGCAGGAGTTTTACGATTTATTTGAGTAGGTTCTGGTTTAAATGTTGAAGTCGGTTTAGGAGTTGACTTTTGAACAGGAGTTTGTACTTCCATAGGTTCAGGAGTCATTGAAGGTTTGTTGTGAAGGCGTTGGTTTTGGCGAAGGTGTTGGAGTTTGTTTAACTTCAGCTACTTCAGTATTATTTATAACATTTGCTTTATTTCTTTTCAACATCATAACTGCTCCTGCTGTAGCTAGCAAACCTAGTGGGAGACCATATCTTATATAAGGACTTGACCAAATGCTATTTTTGACAGGAGCTGGTGGAACACCTAACCTTGGTGAGACTGCTCTTTGCCATTGTGCAGCTCGTAAGAAATATTCAATAGGTGCTCCATAATCGTTTGGTAAAGTTTGTTTCATAGATGGTGAAGGTTCACGAGAGCTTGATGAAGAACTCATTTATAAGCTTTAAAAATAAACGTTCATCCTTTATTCCTCACTGTCGTCCGTGCTAAGTTATAGTCTCAATCTTATTATTGGTGCCTGACGCACTGAATGGCAAAGCAACAATCCCTCATAAATCCAATAAGTGGCTTTGGTACATTTTCAGTTGCTAGTTCAATAGGTCCTTTAACAGACAATTTGTATGTTATTGGAGCAGTAGATGTTTGACCTTGCTGGAAGCAAAAGTCCACTTCTGTTGGAAAACCACATAAGAAATGTGTGTTGTCATAGCTATCCCATTTATGTTCCACACTACCATCATCCACCAATGACCTCATAACATCTTCATTAAATCCTATCATATCATTGTTTGTATTGCAAGCGTTCGCAACCATTTCATAAAATACAGGTCCATATGATTTTTCAGGTTCTGCAGGCATATTTCCATAAGCTCCCATGGAAAGCTGAAGATATTTAAACTTAGGGTTCTCAAAATTAACATAATAGTTGTCTTTCTTTCTAAATAGTGCCCAAATACTTTTAACATTAATAGGCGTATAAGCTGCTGTAAATGTTGCACTTGAACTATCTGTATTCTTTGAGAATGAACCGTCCATAGGAATCCAATCCATAACTTTAACAGGAAAACATAAAGCCTCGTTTGTATAATGTTCTACAAGTTCTGTATAAATGTTAGGGTCTAAAGAGAATGACTTTGGATGAATGAAACATTCATTAAAATCCATCTTTGTTCGAAATAGTTGCTGGGTTACAGTTGTAATAGTAACTGTTCCACTAGCTTCTACTGCCTTCGTTATCATAGTGAATGGTTCATTCCATGGAACAAATTTATTTGTCGGTGGATTTGAATCTGAAGCAAATGCAACTTTAAGAGTTGGATTGAAAGCAATGATATCATTTACAGATATAGATGTGCATTGTAAGGCGTCGCTACTGAACTTTACTTTAAGCTGAATGTTTCCTGCAAAAGCTGGAATAAATCTTAGCTTCTAATGGAAGGAATCTTCTAACAGGAATTCTTAAACGAAGCTTAAAATCAAATGATTTTCCTGCTGTAATTGGACCACTAACAATTTGTCCTGTTCTGCATGTTCCCGAATGACTCCATACATCTTCATGTCGAGTCTTTGAGAAAACATCTACTTTCTTTATTTGTTCGGTAGTTTGTGAGTTTGAAGTTATATATGCTTCTTCTCTTGCGTTGTCTTGAGAATATACGATACGACCATTTGCAAGGATTTGATATCCAGCAACTGCATAGAAAGCGTCATCGAAACCAATCCAAAATCCTGGTGGGTTTGTTTTTTGGAACCTGAACCAATTTCTTTATCTACAATAAATTGACCTTCCATTTTATACGTAATGAATGTATTGTAAAGGTCCAACATATTTTCACCAGGAGGTGAGAGATTGAATGTTACCCATGTGTTATCTTTAGCAGTTCCAGGTTGTGATGGAATCTTTGCGTCAGAATATTTTCTATTAGTGTCACCAATTTGAACTGCATTGTCTATGATATCGAAATATGAGCGAATCTGATGAATATGCTCTGCTGGAGTAAATTCGTTTAGCTGTTCGTTCTGCATGTATTTACTTCAGATAAAAATATCTATTTACTTCATTATTCTCACTCTTCTTCTTGGCATTCGTGGTGGAAGTTGTTTCTTGACATTTTCAATGAACTGTACATTCTCTTTTGTCTCAACTTCTTTCACTGGGGTCAGGGTTCTTTGACTCGGTTTGTTTTTCAATGAAATTCACGAACTTTGCAATAAGCTCTTGGTTCGTTATTGAAAGTACATCTGGCTTCTTTTCTTCTTGTTCTTTGGTCTCAGTTTGAACAGAAGGTTTTATATGGGCTTCGTGGACTTCACCCTTGCCATGCACCTTAATGTTGTCGCTCTCTGCATTCGCTAATGGAACCTTTCTTTTTCTTACGTATATTTTACCATCTTTACTCTGACTTACGTAATAGAAAGGATGTTGTATTCCTCTTGCGTCATTTAATATAATAGACTCTCGCTCTGATTTTGACAAGCTCATTTTACATCGGTTAAAGTTTTAATTTTGTTTTTTATCTGCAGTCAAATGACTCAGACAAGCCCTACGGACAAGACCCAAGGTGTCATAGATGTTGAAGCATTGAAGAAAGAAATTCGTGAGCAAATTTTATCCGAACTGAAGGAACAAAAACAAGAACAAAAGCCAGAGAGACCAAAGAGAAAACTTAGTGAAAAACAACTTGCTGCATTAGCTGCTGGAAGACAAAAGAACCCACGTTTGCTGGCAAAGAAAGCTAGAGAAGAAGCTGAAGCAAAGAAAGAGTAAATGGTTTATTTTTATCCGAATAAATGTATAGACAAATACCTTTATCTGTTGCGTTCAGTAGTGAAAACCCTGACGTCAAAATAAAGGGGAACAGAGTAACGTTTAAGTTTCCAACAGACTGGATTGTGAACATAAATGAAGAGAAGTACATTGGCATAACATCTATGTATATAACACGTGCTTTCAGAAAGGTTGACTTTATACTTCAAGTCGAGATAGAAAATGACGAACAGTCTTTAAGCGCCCAAAACATTCACATATACAAATACTTTAAAGACGATACAACATTGTTGCAATGTATGATTTCATTTAATGAGATGTTCGAGAAAAAGTTCAACATTGAAGTACAAACTTTACAGCCTTTACGTGAGTTTCTTGCACAACTGAAAGAAGAAGGTAGTCAGCCACAACTTATAGACTTTCATTATGAATTTAATGAAAATGAAGATGGAACTCATGACTGTCAATTCATTGTATTCTCACCATTCAATGAAGTCGCTAAAGAGAAAAAAATCCATTACGTATAAGATTTCAAATCTCCGAACCAAGTGATGATTTTAAGAATGTTTTCAATTATGATGCAATGCTTCCGAGGAAAAATGAATTTTCAAAGATTGTAACACCTGGCATTTGGGATAGAAAGCAAGCTATATTATATTCAAACTTAAGTAAAGGAGTTGAAAATGAGTTCATTGGTCATACAAGAACTTCACCACTTCCTAACCCTAAATACTATAAATTAACTGGCTTCAATCGTGAGTTTTGGATAGACATGTTCTCCACTCATGACCATAAATGTCCAGTGTTCTTGCCTCCAGACCATAAGGACTGTCTCTACATTGAAGCACAACTCTTAAACTCTACCATCGCAGTATTGTAAAATCTACGCTAGCTTTATTTTTATCACGAATGACCTCATTCATGACCTCATTCATGACCTCATTGCTGACAAAAATAAATGACCTCAGAACTTCAACTTACGAATAAAGCTTGTTTTAGTCGTTATTGAAAAGTTGAACTTTTCAGCAAAGCAAGGTTGACATGACTTACATAAGTCGAATGCAATCTCTTGACCATCATGAAGTGCTTTGTAAAGTTTCATTAAACTGAACTCAGAGTCTTTGTCATATGTTCCAACAGGTATGTGAATGTTCTTATCTTCATTGTAATAGCATTGTATAGCTTCAGGAAACATTTCATTAGCGGTTAAAGCAATAACATCTTGCTTCACGCCTTTCATTCTGCAGTGAAATGCAACTTCATTTAAATCGTTAGTGAGTAAGTCTATGTAGGTCTTCTTTCCACAGAAAATACTTTTATAAGCTAAACTTTGTTTTCCAGGTGTTATTTCTGCAAAGTCGCTATGAAATTGACCAAGGTTCTTTCCTATAAGTTCGCGACCATATCTCTTCTTAAACTCTGCTGCAAGCTTTGGGATGTCTTCATTATATAAGTGCATACTGTCGGTATCCTGGTAAAAGATTTGAAGTCCCATGTCCTCTGCAGTACAGAATACTTCATTCATAATACGTTTTGACATAGACAGAATATTAACACCAAGTGGACAGAAGTTAAAGTGTCTGCAAATGCTTTTCGTTAGCTTGAAAATAGTTTTATCTGAACCATCCAAACCTTCGAACTTCACTATATGGTTGTAATTTCTTATAGCATATCTTATAGCATCTTTGTCATTTACTATGGTTATTTTTGACTCAATAGGAGATAGAATAGTTTTGCCATAAATGCTGTTCAGAATGAGTTTTATAATTTCTTGTAAGGGGTTTTCTTCTTTCTTATACTTTAACCTTAACTCAAACAACTTCTTTACTTCATCTCTTATTCTCATATCTCTGTTTCCATCGTAATAGTATCCTTGCAACACTTCACATTTGACACCTTGATATTTTATGAGGTCTTGTAATGTTATATGGTCAACATACATGAGACAGCAAGTGTTTGAACTTCTTGGAACGTTAAGTTCTGGATTTAGTTCAGGGTCGCAAACTATTAAATGAAAGTGTCTGGGTATACCAATCTCTGTTATCTTAATGAGAACAAAGAAGCCAGACATAAACTTTTCACCAATGGGTTCCTTTTGGTCATCATCGAATAAATGTCTCATGAGATACTCTGTGCTTAACATCTCATCCTTCAATACTTTTGGAATACCTTCTAAAGTATAAAGTCTTGCTATAGCTGAAGGATATAATGAAACAGTGTCGAAGTCAGCAATGAGTTTCTTTTTGCTCTTTTGTTTCATGTTATCTGACAACATACATCTTCCACCTTGAATGCATCTCGAAATAAATTCTCTTGGTTTATTTGAGAGGTCATAAAGATTTCCATTCGGGAAGTATACTCTGTTCTCAAACAATTTGTTAGCAATAGAACAAATACTAACGTAGTCATAAACGTTTAAATCAAACTCTTTCAATAAGTCATTGCGGAACTTTACAAAACCTTCTCTTAAAATTCTTACATCTTGTTTGCAGTAAAACGTGCTATATTTTTCTAAGTCGAAGTGGTTTTCATCTATTCTGCAACCTTTGATGGAATCTATGTTCTTCATAAATGTATCTGCATCATGGATAAACTTACATGCTTCAGAAATGACACCAGTTCTGTTGTCATTTGCTAACAAAACACTGCTGTAGTAGTTATATGGAAATACTTCTTTCGGTCCTGTTTGTAAGTTAAACATAGCAGGAAATAGTTTAAGCTTCTTATTTATAACACTGTAAGAGTCTTTTATAATAATTGCCCGTCCTTTATATAAACCAGTTATTTGCATTGTTCGTGAACCTTTAATGATGGGAGTTCCTTTCACTTCTGTCATGTGTCTTAAGATGAAGTTTATGTCATAACTGAGGTTATGGAAATATATTAAACTCTTGTCAGGAAGTCTTTCCAAAAATTCTGTTGCACAGTTTTGACCCCAAATGCTTTCACTAACTGAACCATCTTCACTGTCATAACAGATGTTAAAAGCTTTATGAAAGCCATCCGTACTACACTCAAAGTCAGCAAAGAAAACGTGCTCAGGTATGAATTTACATTTAGCTTTATTTACTTCTTTTGACTCTGCTTTCTTCTTCAGTTGTACACAATACTTTGGAGCATATGTCAAATCTTTAAATGGTGCAAGGTTCTGTTTATATAAGTCAGTAGTATATGTGAAAAGTTCTCCATAAGAAATAGGTTCGAAATATTTGCACTCCCACAATGTTTTCATAACATCCCATAACGGTGTTGTTCTATCATAACGAACTACATATTTATCTTCTCTCTTTGTATAAATCTTCATCTGTTTCTCAATGTTCATTCCACCACAAGCTTTGAGAATTTCTTTATAGTTTCGAATGAAGTATGTTGTCATTGGAAGTCTTTCATTTAGCATGTAGTGGTCTTCAACAAGAAGTAAGTCAATAGTTCTAACAGTTTCGCATTCTTTTGGTATATATCTCTTTATTTCATTATGTCTTGAGTCATTGAAATAACCAATGGTAACATTAAATGCTATACCTGTTGCGTCAGAAATTTCTTGTACTTTACTTTGAGGAAAGTCTCTAACACGAATGACTTCTCTCATGTGGTCAATAGTTTCTTCATTTACTCCAGCCTGAATGCAAGCATAAACGAAACAATTGTCCTCTGTCATAAGTGTTGCAGTTCTTTTGTTCAGTTCATTGAAGATTTGGTAGCGTTCAAGATTTATAGGTAATGTGCAAAGATACTTCCAGAACTGACCGCTTCTCTTCTTATAAAACTTCTTTTCACCATTATCTTTCCAAAAGCTTTCTATAAGTGCTGGGTTTCCTGTTTGCTTAAGAGCTTCCAAAATGGCTTTCTGGTCATTTGTCAGTGTGCTTTCATCTCTATATGGTCTCTTTTTTGGTTTGCCTTTCTTTACATCTGACATCGTTAAGCCTTCATATTCTGTTAAATCATACATCTTTATTTCAGTAAGATTCTTTATGTTTGTCAAGAAGAAGTCATAGTGCATTTCAACAATACCTGCAGCATTTGCTTCTATCTCTGATATAAAGTTCTCCTTCAAGAGCTGATGTAGTAATGTTCCAATATTATTGAGGTTTAACGTAGAACATTCATACTTTCCACCAAGTTTATAACATACCATCCATCTTTGTTGCGAGTTTATTTTAATTTTCTCTAAGAGTCTCATGAAAACCTTACCGAAATGTTTGTGTAAATAGTCTCTGTTTGGTTCATCTAAAGCTTCGATGTTAAAGTCAATGAGTCTATTGCCTGACTTCACATTTCTCTTCCTATTCTCTTCATCTTTCTTTAACCATCTCTCACCTTCTTTTGGTTTGTCGTCAATGGAACGAATGACATCGTTAGCTTTGCGAACTTGTTCTATAGCACTTTTAAACATCTCTCTTCTCTGTTGTTTCAGTGTGTCGTCTCTTCTTCTTGTTTCACCAACGTTTGCATTTGTTATGTCAAACATTTCTTGACGAACATCATGCGAAAGAGCTTTACGAGTATGACCAACGTTCGCATTTGTTATGTCAAACATTTCTCTTCTTACTTCATGAGGTACTGAACGTCTATGATATAAGTCAATAGCAATGTCATTTAAAGGAAATGCTCTTGCATGGACTTCGTCCTCGCCGCGTTGCGGCTTTATGAACTCATGAATTCTATCATAACTTATTGCACCATTGTAGTCTTTAATGAAGTCAGCGAGTGCTTTTTTGTTTTCGCGTAATGTTTTGCAACATCTATATTAGCTTCTGTAAGAAGTTGTTTTATTTCCGAGTGTTCTAACTTAGACAACTTCCGATACATCTTTAGTAGGAAATAAAAAAATATTTTTTCGAAAAAATAAACTTAGAAAAATTATTTCTTTATATATTTGCCATTCCGAACTTCGAAAAGATGTTTTATACCAGCATAGAATTTTTCTCTAGAGCTTGGTCTTATATCGTTTTCATGACAATATTTTCTATATTCTTCATATAAAGCCTTTTTTTCATACATTTTATAAGGACAATCTAACCAGAATAGCGCATATCCATTTTCGTTATCTAGGTCTCTATATGTTTGTGGAATTTCGCTTTCTTCTGTTTGTAGAATTTCGCCTTCACTATTTAGTTCTATGTATATATATTGTGGAATTTCGCTTTCTCTATTTAGTTCTATGTCTATATATTGTGGCTTAAAAGGATGTGGGCAAGAAGGGTCTGGCGCTATGTAAAAAGTTAATTTTTCTGTCATCTTTTCTATCGGATAAAAATATTTTTTGAAAAATTAGATTAGATTTTTTTAAGTTATTTTTCAAAATAATTTAATATTTTTATTTTAATGAAACACATGCAAGATTGCAAGTTCTTTTCATACAATGCTCTCGCTACTGCCATCAAGAATGAGTTCAATGGTGCTTCAAACGTTAATGTTATCTTTAACAAGAAGTTTGTGAAAGAATCTAAGTTCGGTCAGTATGTCAGACCATTAGCTATTGTCATTGACCGCAAACGTTATACTTCACAAGAGTTAGCAGTAGTTTTGAAACAAAAGGGTTTCTTCGTGAATGTCAAAGATACTCATTATACTGTTATAAAGAACTCCAACATTGACTTCTTCAGTATTGCTATGAATCTTTCCGAACAGAAAGAATATAAGAAGGGTGAAAAATGTGAAATATTATCCTTCATCTCTGAAGACAATAACGAACAAAGATGTTATACAAAAGTTCTTACCAAAGGTTGAAGAAGCTTCTATTGACATTGACGAAGGAAGTGAAATGGTTGAAGAAATTGACCCTGAAGCTATTTAAAAATATATTTTTGGTGAAGAGGTGAGATGTTCACCTGTTTTTTCACCTCATTCTCTCTTCGTTAATGTTGTCGTGACTTCTTCGTTAATGTTGTCGTGACTTCATTCTTCCTCTTTGAAGTTATCGAAATATTCTGTTATTTTTTCCTTCAGTAATGGTAAGTCTTCTTTGAAGGTAAGTATTGTGCAACCTTTGATGTCATAGTGTGTTTGAGGAAGAGTATTTTTGACAATTTCTTTATTTGCTCATTCGGTGTCATTGAAATCGGTAAGTTTTCACGATAGAACCAGTTTCTGTCAGATTTATAATTTTAGCAAGGTCGTAAAAGCTTTTGTTGTTTCTTCTGACTAAATGCAACATAACCATATCTCTGTCTTCTTCATTTTCCATCTCTTCAGCGTAAATCATATACTTATACTTTTCCTTTCCTTTTGGTACTGAACGTGGTATTCTTTTCTGTATGCTTTTGTCTTTGGATTCAATGACTTCATCTTTTGCTTGAAGTTTCTTTTCCATCTCTCCACGTTCTTGTCTGTGAAGTTCGTCAAGAAGTTTGTAAATATTCCAAGCATAACGTGGTGAAGCCCACATTGCAACTGCATTTACTAAAAGTCTATGAACATAATATCCTCTCAAACCGTTTGGCAATTTTTCACGGTTTTCATAGAGTTTTGGCGACTGGGATTTTTTACCTACTCGCTGTTCTTCACTGTTTTCAGAAAAAAGTACGTCTCGCTGTGCTTCACTTAATAGTTCTATGGTGCTTTGGTTCCTAAACCAGTCTTTAGGAAGCTTAGTATCTGGAGCAAAACAAGCCGTCAAAATACTTTGCATTTGGTACATGTCGTCTTTGACAGAACGAATGAGTCTCAATTGTTTGTTATACTGTATGTATTCGTATTCTTCATTTATTGCCTCATGGACTATAACTGTTGTTGTGTTCTCTAATGTTGACATATCTGTCTTTACATACAGGATAAAAAAATAAATAAAATAAAAACTAACTTTATTTTTTTTGAGATAAACACTATTTCTTCACAACATTAAATTTTATCCTGTATGAAATGACTTTAAAAAGATTATTGACTGACTTCGAATACTATCTCATTGACGCACTGACAGACCCTCAAAACTGTGTTGAAAGTTCTTTAAGCTTTAAGATTGAAGGTACGACGCATTTTGTCTTCACTTACGTATTGAAAGAATATGACCGTTATCATAACGAAGTGAATCAAACACTAATAAAATTTGTAGATAAAAAATTGGTTAACAATGAATATTTTAAACGTGAAGACCCAAACACTGCTGGAGATGATGAAGAATACAGACAAGTTATTGAAAAAAATAACGCAAGATTAGATGCAATAGAAAAGAAGTTTAATGAATGTCTTACAAACACGTATGAATATCTTATGCAGTGGGAAGCCAGATGGAAATAAATTTACGTCAAATATGCAATTTATAAAATCTTATGTCGACAGGCTACGTAGCACAGTGGTCTAAGGTGGTGTTATGGAGGGGTCAGGGTCTGTGGTTCGAACCGCGACAGCGCCGTATTTTCTTATTTTCTTTATTTGTCTTGTTTGTCGTGAATAAAAAGTGTCATAAAAGTGCTCTATCTTCCACGGGAATAAATAAAAAATTTACTTTATTTCTTCTTTATTTCTTTGTTCCCGTGGAAGAAGGGTTTTTGCCGTTTTTTCTCAGCCGAAATCAACGATTTTTTCATTTTTGGAATCCTTAGCGAATGAGGAATCTTTTCTTTCGTGGAAGCTTTGAACAAAAATAATGTTTAGGTGAAGAGGTGAGATGTCACCTGTTTTCTCACCTGTTTTCTCACCCTAGTTATTTTATAAACGTTTTACATGAATTGTACGATGTATATTTGAAATCCTAAACAGTTTTGTAGCTTCTATTTCTTCGCTGAGGATATCAAAAGTTTTAACAATACCGAAGGTTTCTTTATACTTCTTCTTGACGTCAGATAGAAGGAAATCTTCTACTGTTGGATAGTTTTTGTTCAGAAATTCTAACAT